TTGGATTGTTTTTTAGCTACGAAAGATTTGTGGGTTATCTAGTATATAATTGACAAATAAATTAGAAAAAAAAAATCCACCCAAGTCACCTATATAATTCAATACTTGACTTTTGATGTAAAAAGAAGGACCAAATCTTTTGATCATCATCCTAGTTTTTATTTTTATTTATTTTTTATTTTTTTTCCCTGAAAGGGATTTAGGTAAGTATTCAAGTTTACTTAGAAACATTGGATTGCACATTCCTTTAACATTTCTATCCACAACTCCCTCTCTCCCTTCGTGTCTCTGTACATTGTTTTTTTACTTGCACTTTGAAAGGGGTTTTAGTCACAATTTATAGGAAGAAGCCTATGTCACAAAGAATGGATGTTTAGGTGTGCTGCCATATTTGATTTTTTTTTTTTCCCTTTCCAAATATGACCAAAATTTGTTTTCTGAGAAATTAAATTTGGTAATAGGTAATGATAAAAAAAATGGATAAAATTTGAATATCCTAATAACAAAAGGGAAGACTTTCTATGAGCTATATTTTCTAAATATAAATTTAATATCAACATTTAATATTATAAGTTGTGAAAAAAATTAATTATTATCATTTTTTTTTCTAAAAAGGGATTTAGGTTATTATTAAAGTTTGGTAACTTGCAAAATTAAGATTTTGTTCCTTAGAAACATTGTATTGCGCATTCCATTGACATTTCTATCCACAGCTCCCTCTCTCCTTTTGTGTCTCTGTACATTGTTTTTTTATTTGCACTTTAAAAGGAAGTTTTAGACACAATTTACAGGAAGAAGCCTATGTCACAAAGAATGGATGTTTAGGTGTGCTGCCATATTTATTTTTCTTCTTTAATAGTTTTTTTTTTAATATTTACAAACAGTAAGATATTTTAAATATTTCGAGACGATCAGTTTTCAAAATAACTTCTTAAGAAATTAAGCCAACAAAAAGAGTATTTCCTCAAAATACCGTTCCTTTTATTTTTATAATTAGAAAGCCTTACGACATCTACATATTTATTACCTTATTTTTCTTTTTCAGCCCTTATCTTTTTTATCTAATTTAAAATCAATCCTTTCCTTTTTATTAGAAGGTAAAAAATTGAATGGTGAGGAATGTTTCTTAAGAATCAAATTTTGCCAATACGTAGAGATTATCATAATATTTTGTTGTACTATATATTCCTTTTTTTTTTTTTTTCCCTCTCTCTATCTTGTGCTAATATTCTTTTTATCCTATGCGAAAAAGCAGAGTCTTGGGCCCATTCTCATTGAATATATGGAGAGAGATGTGGTCTTAAACGTAGTGAAGAAGTTAGTGCATGTGGAATAAGGAAAAAAAAAATGCGTAGGGAGTTTTCGTGTGAAGTTTCCAAGCCATTAGACAACAAGCCCAAATAAAGGAGAAGAAATGGACCATAATGAAAAATTAATAATCATAATCTAATTATGTAAGTAAATATCTGGGATAACCACAATGGATTTCAAGTATTTGTTTGCTGACCATTGCTCATTCATTTAATTAATTTTCGAAAAGAACCTTTGTTGAATTAATAACTAATTTAATAAATTTGAATAACCATATATTGACAAAACCATATGTAAGGTACGTCAACAACAACAACTAAATAATCCTAAATTATGAAAATATTCTTACAACATATTCATTCATAGTATAATAATTAAATAAATTGTTCCAAAATAAGGCTTGATCATTCAGAAACAACTAAATCTATATCCAAAACAAGGTTTGATCATTAGAAACATCTGAATGCAATCTCATACTCTTTACTTGCTCATTTAAATTTCTTTCATTTTTTTAGCAATACCATTTTACTTTAGGTTCATACGAACTATCTTGCTCATTGTGATTTTATTATCTGGATAGTAATATTTGAATTCTATGTTAACGTGTCTTAGTTCAAGACTTGGATCTTCAAATCAGTTTGATTTTTAATTTCAACCTTCTACCTTTTAAATATAGCAAACATATTAAATTTATTTTTTAAAAAATAAATTTAATATGTTTGCTATATTTAAAATTTTACCTTTTCGGATGAAGTCGTCAATGAAAATAACATAGTAGCATGAGCCTCCAAAAGAAGTCACGGGAGCTAGTCCCCATACATCTTTATGCACCGATTTCTACCATCCCTGCCGGTTTGAATGATTCAAAAACTCAAAACTTTACTGTCATATTAAAACGAAACGTCTCTTGCAATCATGCACACATATATCACTATGAAACAGCTAATCATAAACATTAATACAATTATGTTTTCTCTTAACAAGTAGTGTTTTGTTCAAAAAAATCTTATATCAGATGTCAGTTTTGATCGAAAAATTAGTTAAAAACTCATGATAGAGTAATCACATTAAGAAAAATTCAAGAATAAAATGTGGTAATGAATAAATTTTTTTAAAAAAACCACGGAGACCCATTTTTTCTTACGCAACTGAAAAATCCTCGAGTTCTCTTCCTAATTGCTTCCATTTTCTGATTAGCCAAGTCAACAAGAAACCTTACAAACTCCTTTGACGCCAAACACTTCTCTAATTCCCACAATAATCCTCGCTTTATAGCAAAAGAAACAAAAAAATTGCAGTTTTAATGTCTCTATACTCCACAACAATTATCAAAGGCCCGAACCTGAATGCCAACTCGGTTAACAACTCAGTTTCTGACTCGGTATCCGACTCAGTTGCTTATAATCTGAGTTTCTAATGTTTCATTTGGTAATTTGTCTGTTTTCGTTTCTCAAACTCTTTTTTTTTTTTTTTTTCCCCAGTCTCTCTGCTTTGTATTTGTTGATAGTAAAGAACTCAAAAGGGTAAGAGAACGAAGAAAAAGGGGTTTAAGGTAGATTTTAGGCTACGGTACAGGTTCGGGCTTTTAGGATTTGGGCCTAATTAAATGTCCATTAATCTTCTGTTTGGGCTCTGATCTACTAAATTGGTCAGAGCGGGTAGGTATATTTTGAATTTTCAAACAGAATATCATCCACGCATTTGAACAACAGAGTATGGGTTAACTGAAGATACAGAGCATCAACCACAGCTCTGAGAAAAATGAAAGTGAAACCTGCAGGTACTTTCTCTCTCTGTTTCTCTCTTTCACGTCTATTACATTCAAATTTTGCTACATCTCATCTCATTGATTGTTTTCTTTGTTGAGAATCATAAATATATAATTTGACCAATGTTTATTACTACAACTTATTCATCTTTCCACGCCAAAAAATAAAATTTGTTAGCTACTGATGTAAATGATGTTTTGTATTAGTCTCATTTGATCTCATGGGTTGTTTTGGTTTTCAAAAATCATATGTTTAAACCAAAGTTATAAACTAATCAGGTGAAAACCTGATTATGATGCTAAGATCATCATGCCTTCATTTCTTGCATATATTGTGAGCTTTGTCCTTATTGTATTCTGATGAATGCTTCAGAAAAACTTTCCCTTCTTCCCTTAGACTTGTAGTGGCTAGATCATCAACTTCAGATTTGTTTCTTTGTTTTTCTGCACCAATATTTTCTCTTTTTCCAGTGTTCTCTATTTTGTGCTTTGTTGCTACTCTGGCATCTACTGCATTTTTCATAATTCAAATATATTATTGAATGGTATATTACTTTGTTCATAAAAGATAAAACTACAATTCTCTTTGGCTATTGAATGGAAGATTAGTGTAATATTAATACAATTAATCATTGGGATATTAAATCTTATTACAACCATTAATCAACATTACATAGTCGAAACTAGCCCTTATAAGTTTATATAAAAAATTAATTGTAGTTTAGTAATTAATTTGTTATCTATTATTCTCATATAAATATTTTTAAGCATTTAGTACGACAGGAGAAATAAAATAATAATGGTTTTTAAAATGGTATCTGATATATAATTATTTTACAATTTAAATTGATCATCAGTTTAAACAAAAGATTTACAACTGAATACCAACTCGGTTGCTGACTCAGTTCCCAACCGTTTCGTGTTTGTTGCTAGCAAAGAACTCGTAAGGTTGAGAGAGATGAAGCAAAAAGGGTTTTAGGGAGATGATAGGCTATGGCACAGTTTCAGGCTTTTAGAATTTCGGCCTCATTAAACTTTTTATTGGGCTGTAGACTTAAAGCTTAAAAGAGTCTTAGCCCTTATCACCAAATGAATAAAAGCCCTTTGCAGAAGACTTAAGGTTGACTATAAGGTGAATGCATGCAGTTGACTTAAAACCTTAGAAGCAGAGTATGGATTAACTGATGCATCAACCGCAGCCTAGAGAAAAAGAAGAGTGAAACCTACAGGTTCTCTCTCTCTTTCTCATGTATTATATAATGAAATGTTATTCTTTTGAAACTGATGCAAATGCGTTTTGCTTTAGTCTCATCTCTTCACATCTCGTGGGATTGTTAGGATTATAAGATGTAATTAACTTGTGTGTTTTTATAAATTTGAAGCTTGTATACTCCAATGGGCATCTTCGTTTATTTTCATTTCCTGCTCCTGTTGTGTTTGCAAATGCGTGGTAGCAACTGCTGATATAATTTACATGTTTTTTCTGAAAAATGTTGAAAAGAAAAGTAAAGATAATATACGAACACTCCAGCTAGGTGTGATCGAACTTGAAATATCTCTTCTTTGCAAGTTTTCCAAATTTAAGGAGCATTATTCTTTCGATATCAATCCTGCTTTTTTCTTCTCATTTGTTCAGTTCTTGGAAAGTTTTCTCTTTGGATCAGAAGTAATAAACTAATAAAAATAGTGGATTCACCTTAATGGGTTTGTTTGGATTACAAGATGTGATTAAATTGAAACACTTTAAGCTTATAAGGGGAAATGGGCATTTCCTGTTATTGTTGTTGTGCAAAATGTAAAATTTGGTAGAGCACTCCAAGAGAATAGTACATCATTGTAATGGACTGCCGTTAGCCCTTCGTGTTATCAGTTCTTCATTATCTGGAAAAAAACAGAAGTGTGGGAAAGTGCATTACAGGAAATGGAAGTGATCCCTAATGGTGAAGTTCAGAAGGTTCTTAGATCCAGTTATGACTCTCTTGATGATGAATATCAGAAGACCTTATTCCTTGATATTGCTTGTTTCTTCAATGGAATGGATGAGGATTATGTAGTTAGGATAACAAACGGGCTCGGTATTGGTGCAAGGTTTAGGATTGACATTCTCATCGATAGATGTCTTGTAGAAATCGATGAAGATGGAAGGCTGTGCATGCATCCACATGTAAGAGACATGAGGAGAGAAATTGATCGCCAAGAATCATTCAAATGTCAAAGAATATGGCATCATATGGAAGCTTATACAGCATTGAAGGAAACTAATGTAAGTACCTTATTTCTTTTGTCTATCTAACTGGTTTTAGGTGTTTTAACATTTTAGGTCTTGTACTTTCCTTTCTCATATGCTTTTAATAATTTTGAAGCAAGATAGTGAAACTGTGCGTGGCCTTGCCCTGGACATGCATCTGTTAAAGGGAGACGATTGTACAAAAGCTATTTGGAGTCAATATCCGTTAGAAAATTCAATGGTACACCACCAGCATAACTTGTTTGAACCATGGCATCGTCCTGGATTCTTCTCTTGGAAATATTGGCTTTCTAACTTTTTTTGGGGGAACAAGTACAAACTAGGCAAACAGGTTTGTTTCCTGTCCTCGGCTTGGATGGATTGAGAAAGATGCAAAATGTAAAATTCCTACAGTTAAATTGCTTGAAGTATGATGGAAACTATGAGCAGTTTCCCAAGAGTTTAATGTGGTTATGTTGGCATGGATTCTCTTCGATATCCAAATCAAAGTACTTCTGTTTGGAGAAGCTTGTGGTTCTTGGTCTATCCAGAAGCAGTCTAGTTGACGGTTGGAAAGGAAAAGTGTTATGTTGCTAATCTCTCTCTCTCTCTCTCCCTCTCTATTCCTCACGAGCATGAACTTTCAATTGATAACAACTAAATTCATGTTTTTAAACAGTCTTTTCCAAAGTTGAAAATCCTTGATCTGCGTCACTCGTATGATCTCATTAGAACCCCAGATTTCTCGGGTATAAAACAAAAATAAAATTAAGACACCCTTATAAATTAGCATACACATGAATAATATGAAAAAGAAATTTTCAAAGGTTACATGATGTCTCTTTCCTTTTGTCAGTTGAATTAAGACAAAATTAGCTTGAAATAATATTTAAAGAAGTCTGCAAATTGATGTAAATTAAATATTACCTTTTAATTCAACATATAGATGATAAGCATAAATTGAAAATGAAATTGATAGAAAACCATTACATAGAGTTAATGTAAATCATTTGCAAGACCACACACTTTGTTAGAATCTTATGTCAAAGCAACAATTAATCTTATGTTATATTGGAAGTCAACAATGATAGCTTGAATTGAATAACTAGAGATTCTTTATTATTTCGAGCTCGCACTGAGAATTTCAATCCATTTCAGTCCTGATAACATGTAAAAATTGGTATTATCAGAAACAGAACAAATCAATCAAAATTACCTATAAGAGAATCCTACGTTGAGGCTCAGCATTCTCCGAAACTTTTTACCCCACAAAACCGTTTTCCCTTAGAAGGAGTAAAAAAATAAAAAAAAAACTCAAAAACCTCACATACTCCTTTGACACCAAAATCCTATCACTATCACCCAATGTGAAGTCAGAAAAGTGAGGTTGCTAATTGCTAGTAAGAAGGGTGAGAGAGAGATGAAATAAGCCCTTCGTGTGACGGGAGAAAAGGGCTTTTAGGGAGATTTTAGGCTACCGTACATTTTTGGGCTTCTAGGATTTGGGCCTAATAATTGTCCATTAACTTGGGCTCTTAGATTTTCGAACATAGGGACTAGTAGACTCAAAGCTTAAAAGAGTCTTAGCCTAATCACCAAATGAATAAACACTGTCTTTCGGCTTTGATAAGGATTTTCAAATAATAAAATCCAGCTTAGGGTGCTAAGATTAGAAGCAGTTGACTCGAAGCTTAACTGACGCACTGTAGCAGCCACAGCTTAGAGAAAAGGGGAAGTGAAACAGCCAGGTACTCAATCTTTCTCTTTCTCATGTAATTCTTTTGATACTGATGTAAATCATTTCTGCTTTAGTTTCATTTCATGGGTTCTTTTCTTTGTGGAGAATCATATAATTGTCATACCAAAATTTCTTATTACAACTTAATTATTCATCTGGTCATCTCATCAAGCCACTTGAAAAAAGGATATGAACCCAATAACTGATTTTGTTAGATCTGCAAAGAAATTGAACAGACGTAGTAGTCGATTTTATTTTAATTCCTGGGGCATGCGGAAGGATTGCAAGATGTAATCAAGTTTTGTTCTTTTCTTAATTTTAAGATTGTGTTAGCCAAATGGCCATCTTCGTTGACTTTATTTCCTGCTTCTTTTTATGCTTGTAAATGTTTCTAGCAAGTTGTGACGATATGTGAAAGTTTAAAACACAAATTATACAAAAACACTAAAAAATTCGAAGAAAATACTATTCACATTATTATTCATCCACACACTCAACGCACTATTCATTGAAACTCGTGCTAATTATTTATTTTTTTATGCAATGTCATTTTCATGATTTTTTAGCTGTTTTCAAACATTTATATTTAAGTTTTACTGAATGTCATACTTTGGTCCCTCATGTTTAAAAAAAAATTATATCTAACTTTATCTATATTGCATTTTGATCCTTGAATTTTTTTTCAACAATTTATTTTCTATTTATTATAGATTTCGTGCTAAATTTATGAAAAATAATTAATCAGTATTTTTTAAAAAATTTTTACAGCCTAGGGATGAAGAAATGTGATTTCTTCAATTTATCATTTCTAATTTTTTTTGCTTTTAGATTTTAGGATGATTTCTTCGATTTGTTATTTTCATAGAAACATTGAATCAATTTTTAGGTTTTTTTTACAGAATTTTATTTGTTAAGCAAACATGATTTATTTTTCTCTTTGTTATGAGTTTTTGAATAAAATTTTAAAATGTGATTATTGTTTTTTTAAAAATACATTAATATAATTTATATGATGAATTCTTATATATAGCAAAAGCAAAAATAGCTTCTTATATTTTTTTTCAAATTATCATGATTATTTACGTCTAAGTGTGTATCTATGCCAATGCCTTTTTCAGAAGAAATAAAATAGTTAAGAGAACATGATTGTTAGAATTTAAACCCTTCTCTAGAATTATTTCAAGCTACAAAATAAAACTTAAACAACAATATATTGATATATATTAATTACAAGAAAAATCTCACACAAAATATCATCTCAATATATTGAAACTATTTCTCTCTCCTAGCTGGTGCTAGTATATAGCTACTACTTTCTTGTTGTTTCTTTTTCTCTCTAATTTTTCATATATGCATTACAATCATAAGAGTCATATTTTATAGGCAAACTTAACATCCTCATTTGAAAAATCTAGAATTAATTAGAAAGCACAAAGTTTGACCACCTCTTTTGAATTTTACTTGGTCAATTGCTTAATGATCAAGAATTCTTGATCCGCCTCCATTGAATTGGTCAATTGCTTAATGATAAAAAATTCTTAATCCATCTCATTTGAATTGATTAATTGCTTAATGAGTTAAAATTTTTAATAGTTAAGAATTCTTAGTAGCTTGAGATAATTCTAGATAAGGGTTTAAATTCTAACACTCCCTCTCAAAGTTAACTTTGCTCTCAAAGTTAACTTTGCATGCCAAGTTTCCTTTGAGTCCGTGAAATATGTCGATCTTCTAATGCTTCGTAAATATGTCCGCAAGCCGATCATCCGTTTTGCAATGAACTAGCTCCACAACTTTGTTTTTCATTTGCAGTAAAGAGAATTTTGAGATATGTCAAAGGTATAATAAATCATGGATTATTTTATATATATTCTCAAGATTCAAAGTTAATTGGTTACTCGGATAGTGATTATGGTGGAGATTTAGATGATCGAAAAAGTACTTACGCGTATGCATTTTATATTGGATCAGCAATATTTTCTTAATCATAAAAAAAGTAACAAACAATTGCTCTCTCGAAATGTGAAGTAGAGTATACAGTTGCAGCAGCAAGTACGTGTCAAGAAATATGGTTGAAGAATACTTTGAGCGAGTTATATTATGTACAAGAAAGTCCAATTACAATATACATCGATAATAAATCTGTTATATTACTTGTGAAGAATCTAGTATCACATAGCCGAAATAAACATATAGATACAAAATATCATTTTATTTGGGAGCAAGTGAAAAAAAAGTTATAGAGCTAGTTCATTACAAAACAGAGGATCAACTTTCGGATATTTTTACGAAGCCTTTAAAGACCGACATATTTCACGGACTCAAAGAAAAACTTGGCATGCAAAGTCGAGTTTGAGGAAAAGTGTTAGAATTCAAACCCTTTTCTAGAATTATCTCAAGCTACCAAGAATTCTTAACGATTAAGAATTTTAACTCGTTAAGCAATTGACCAATTCAAAGGAGGTGGATTAAGAATTCTTGATCATTAAGCAATGACCAAATGAAATTCAAAAGAGGTGGTCAAACTTTGTGACTTCTAATTAGTTCTAGATTTTTCAAGTAAAGAGGTTAAATTTGTCTATAAATATGACCCTTATGATTGTAATGCATACATGAAAAATTAAAAAGAAAGAGCAAGAGAGCAAGTAGCTATATACTAGCAGCAGATTGCTTGCTAAGAAGAGAGAAATAGTTTCAATTTATTGAGAGAATATTTTGTGTGAGGTTTTTCTTGTAATCAATATATTTATCAATATATTTTTGTTTAAGTTTTATTTTGTCAGCCCATTAGCTTGAATTCATCATTTTTGGTATTATATTGCAAGTTTTTTAAACTTTAATTGTTTGATTTAGACCTTTGTAATAAGAGTTATGGTGGCTAACTCGGTTCCTGGCCTAGTGGGTGACTTGATGGACTCGAAGGGTCACCCAGAATGACACTAGTTTTATGGCGACTTTAAACCAAATCGACTGCTACAACCTTTTTATATGTTTCTGGCCAAAATTGCTCCCTTAAAGAGTCAAGGAGCCAAATATTCAAACACACAAATTTGAAGAAAATCGAAATTCCAATCCTAAGTTTGACAAGGCTGAAACTTCACAACACCAAAAATTCTAACTTCAATTGATTTTAAGGAGATTTGAAACTCCACTACAACTTAAGCTAACAATGATCAACAACAGCACCACCTTAAGTGATCAATTTTAAAGATATAGCAAAACATAAAATCTTAAACAAGTACAAGATTAATAATGCACATGAACCCTAAGCAAAAGTACAAATATATACAAGACAAAAGGATACGCAAGATAAATTGAGAGAAACTTTTCAAGGATTTTTATTCCTCCAAAACGTCCAAGGTTGTTTCTTTGCATAGCATAAGATACCTTAAATAATGACTCAAGAAATTCAGCCAAGACTAAAGAAAACTTGTACAATTTAGACTATAAAAACTTTAGCTTAATCCCTCTATAAATCTAAGTCCTAATTTAATTGGGCTCGGTCTTGGTGCAATTTTTCGAATAGATAATCTCATTGATAGATGTCTTATAGAGATCGATATACATGAAATAGTTTTGGTGCATCAACTCAGACAAGACATGGGAAGGGAAATTGCTCGCCAAGAATCACCGAAATGCCGAAGACTATGGCTTCACATGGAAGCTTTTACATTATTAAAAAAAAAAAAAAAACTACCGTAAGTACCTTATTTTGGTTGTATATCTTCATGGATGGTTTTGGTGTTTCAAAACATGCTAATTCTTTGACTTTCCTTTCTCATATACTTATAATATTTTTGGAGCAGCATACCGAAACCGTCCGTGACCTTA